TTAAAATCTGTCACCATAAAATTATGAATTCAATACAGATTACAATCTAACCTAACCTTACCTTACTTACTAGCTTACAATCTCGCGTTATATTATGAACTGACGGAGTTCAAAATTTCACGACGACATAGTTATCCATCATTTTATGTTAGCAACCGAAAGTCGTGTAGTAAAGAATTGAATCTAAACAGCTATTTAGATGAAATTCGACAGACATTCTTCTTCTTCTTCTCAGTCGGTACACTCTTGTCAGAGTGGTCGTGGTCATTATCTTGAATCACGATTCAGAGTGATGTTCCTCGTAATACGGCGCCATTCCTCGTGGACTGCAGCTTTCCGGGTACTTTCGCTAACCGAGCACTTAGTTGCGGCCTTGATCTGGTCCGTCCATCTCATTGGTGATCTACCACGTGGTCTGGTGCCCTCAACTTTTCCCTGCACCACGAGACGCTCTATGGAGTCATTACTGCGCCGAGATACATGGCCGAAGAAGGTTAAAATGCGTGACTGACAGACATACGCGCTATTTTACACGGAGATATCATTTGACAAACGATTCCAACTGCTTAGTATGACGGCCGTGCGCCCGCCGCCGCGTCAGAATGACGGAGATGCGGGAAGAGTGATGCGTATAAGCCGTGGAGGCTGCATTCTGCGCACGACCGTATGTGGTGGATGGGAGGTCGTAGCCGTCGGTCAGAGACGTGGTGAGAGCACTAATGGCGAATTTAGGATGACTTTAGCGGCTTGTAGATGGAGTACTGCACTTATTTAAGTTATTATTCTTTAAACAATAAACTTGCCGTTCCGAAGCTCAAACTCCATCCCCCTTATTTAAAAAAGATAAACTCTCGTTGAACTCTAGTTTTGACATTTAGTAAGGAAATGATATTTTAAACAAGTGTTTATCCCGGGTTCAACTTTTTTTGTAATAAGGCCCTATGGAGTTGTAATATTTTCGTGACAAATGTAATAGATATCCATTTATTAGTAAAAAACCTTTTTTCAGCTTGTGGCCGCTAGTTCAATTTAATTGACAGCCTTCCTTGCAAGAAACTATAAAATGCAGACTACGGATCGTCTGACATCCTGTCGCAAATCGATGCCGTTGATGTGTTGTCCGGCTACAATGAGAGACAAGAGACAAATCAACACACAACACACACATGCTCGACTCGAAGTTAATATTTTTATAATTTCATTACTCAATCACGAATATCACGATATTGTGTTATCGAAACGTTGACAAAATTACAGAATTTCTAATATTTTTAGAGTTGTTGAAATACTTAGCCCACATAAGTATATCACTGCTAGTTGGAGCACAACTCACTCGAGCATCATAAAGCAGCCAGCAGAAGGCGTGGGCTGCGCGAGCGCAGACGCGATGCCGCAACAGTTGGGCGATCCTCCTTATACAGGGTGCGCTCTAACAACTTAGCTCAAAATTACTGGCCTAGATCTACTAAACTCAACTGGTTAGGCCTATAAATTACAAAACCAGAATGTAGTTAAAAGCGAAGATTTTTTTCTCTAGAAAAATCATTCAAATACATTAGTAGAGGGCAATGAAAATCAGCAATAAAGCTGAATCTAAAGAGCTTTTTTAGATTTTCAAGTACGTAACTATTAACCAAAATGAAAATTATTGTTATCATATTTTATTTCTACACCAGCCTGTATAGCCCTGTCATTATTAATAACGGCAAATTGGATTAATTCGAGTATCGATCGTGATCGGGTATCATCGCATTAATCTCGATTGTCTCGGACCCGTTCTCGTCTAATTTATTATAGAAAAGCAATTTGGACGGCGTTGTGCCATAAAAATAAATCCGCGGACCGCCCGCCGGCAGGTTTATGTACTGCCTGTTTATCTCTAAACGGTTTATGTATTGGGTATTGGTTGTCATCGGCTTTGATACTTTGTAAAAATACCGACCTACATTAAGCTTTGGTTAAGAGATAGAACTTGCATCAATCTGAAGATGACTACAAAGTGTGTTGAAATCTTTGTTTTAAATAAGCTATAGTGGCCATTTTTCCGATTCCGTATCTATTGTGGCCATTTTTACAATTCCTATCGATTTACAAGAAGCAATCTAATTGATCAACTTTGAAAAAATAATCAACGACAATGCAAAATATTACAAGGATAGATAAGATCGGTTTTTCATTTGGATTTCGTACACTATCTAATTTATCACCCAATATTTTATCTTATAATTTTTAGTATAACCATTTGAAAACATCAATATCTCATTGTAGTCACAATCGTCTGTATTCCAGTCTGTCTAATTTTTTTACCGATTTTACTATTAGATTTACTGTTTGTAGATAAATATTATTTATACTCTTGTGAAGTCTGGGCGGGTTACTAGTATGTAACAAACTAAAGAAATAAACCCTCGACGAATTGTAAACCATATCCTTTTGTGATTTCATTTAAAAAGCGTTCTTGTTTCTTGCACTGCAAACCGCAAGAAAAAATGGCATACCTTTTTGTCATAGCCACAACTCAGATAGAATACGAAATGACAGACGGACATTTCAATTTAAATCATCGCGGACGTATGGAGTGCGGACTGCAACTCACACATGCGCGGTGCGTATGCGCCGTTCCCACGAACAATTTTATTATCTCATTAGCGTGAAGCATGTCTTCATAATGTGTCGCCGGCCCCGGGACATCGTTTATTACACTGTAATGGCTTTAATAAAACCCTATATTTTCCATTACCAATAAAAAAGGAGGCTACCTCACATTTGCATGCAGATGAATACATTGCACAGTTTGTAGAGCGCTCGATGGAATAGCTAGTAAGATTGTCGTCAATGGAAGGGCAAAGAGTGGCTCGCTCGGGAGTGGTAATAGTGAGTTGTGGGTAGTGATTACAGAAAAGCCTGGGGGCTGGTAGTCAGTGATGTGCTGACCTGAACAGTTTACTTACTAAGTACTCGTTGAGATTAATTTGTAAAAAGCTTACAGAACTGTGAAGTTTAGTGAAAATTGTTCATAAATTATAATACATAGTACACTTTAAACCTATTTAAATCCGACATTAGTACAATTTATATGACCATCGAAAACCATATTTATCCAACTCTTACTATACGGGAATATCCACCTCTCCTTCCCACCGCTGCAACTCCTTTGTAGCCAGAATCTACAGCTTGACCGCCAATAAAACCCAATAAGTGAAAGTCAAGTTTGTCCCGGGGGAAAGTTAAACTGTCATTGAACCCTTACTATTACCTAACTCTTACTAAAATTATGCATCAGGCAAAACTATGTTAAGTACCTAAGGTACCATTAGTTACTCAGTTGCAGGTACGCGAGTAATCGGTCCAGTCCGTCCTGCTGAATACTCTCGTAGTCGCCATCCCATCCCTATTCGTCCGCGGGTGCACCGATCAGGTGGTCCCTCAGGGTGCGACGCTATCCCCGCTCCGGTCTGGGAGCTGTCTGCGATTGCCATCTGGAATATAGTCATTACTCATGTGCTGAGTGCCACTTACTTAAGAGGTGTTGAGTTTCTGTAGATTAAATTGCATTACTTTGGAAGCTTGAGTAAATTCCTGGCGGTTGACGCGGTTGTGTATGATTATGGCCAGCATTTTTAGGTGTTGAAAATAGACATGAAAGTATATAAAATCTTTATTTCTTTACGATTGTCTATTGACTAAATAAAAGACATGTTTAATGTAAAAACAATAACAGTTGTCGACCTTGGTAAAGCATTTGATTCACTATTTGTGCACATCCACTGACTCCTATCAATCAATGCATATTAAGTAGCTCATTTTTCCCAACCCTATAAAGCTGTTGAGAGCTATTTCTAAGTAGACACACCCCAGGGCAAATCAGGTAGTAGAGTAAACCCAGTGCACTGACTCAGGTGTCCCCCAGGGAGCAGTACTAGTGCCTCGTCTCAATGTAATACCTAGCCTAAGGCCATGCGGGATCATTGCGAGATTACCATCTTTATAGGATGTAGTTATTACCGTTTACCGTTTGCCGGACAGGTGTTAATGAAGCACTTGTAAAGATAAGCTTTATGGCTAAATGGTCGCTATAAGAAAACATTTAACATGTTTGATACGATAATGTTTGCATAGTAACTTGTATAATAAGTGAACCTTTCTACGCAATTAAAATATCAATTTTAAATGCACATCTTTGCCAGCCGGTTCATACGGAATTTCTATTTAATTATTTAACGTTTATATCGGAGCGCATAACTCGTCTATTTGCGGCACTTAAGTTAATACCATGACAATAATTCAATAGCGAATTACCTAATACCAAATAAGGAACATACAATCATCAAAATTGCCGTCCGAAACAATGAAGCAACATTTAATGGTTTCGCACATAGATCGCGTCGCTTGCGCACTCGGCGGCCGACAGATCGGGGTCGCGGCGACGACGCGGCGGGGACGCGACGGGTACGCGACGGGGACGCGGCGTGCACGCGGCGAGGGCGTTGCGATGATCGGTGCGCCGCCCGAGGCAGTGCTCTGTGGGAGCGGGCTTGTGAAACGAAACACCTGAGAAACCGTTTACACTTCATGTCTGGTTGTCCTTAGCCGAAATTATTGCCAAAACAGCTAAAATAGTGCAATATAAAATAGTGCAATAAATAATATTCCAAAAATATTTCTTAATTGTAATCTCCAAGCAAAACTGGACTCGTGAATGCTGAAAACTAGACTTGCTCCAGTTATTAGAATATCATTCAACAATCCTATTACTATTATTTTCTCCTACTAGCTCATTAAGTGTTCCTGTTGTTAGTTTTTATTATGATTGAAACCACACTTATTTGGTAATAAGTTTATTGTGTAGGCTTGGTAGCCATCAAGTGAACAAGTAACAAAAAGNCTACAGCGGGGAAAAGAATGACATCTGTCACTCACTTTTTACATACACTACATAACTTTCCCCCTAAGTAAATACAAAATGCTATATTAAATAACAGTTTTAAACTATTTAAAAGTTAAGTCACAATCCCAAATAGACTGGACAGGCAAAACAATCTGTAATCTAGTAATAGAAATATAATGTCCAAAAGTCTGTGTAGTGGTTCCAACAATGCTGCTTTCTGAGGAATGAACCTCTCATCGAAGTTGTACAGACCTAGAAATGCTTGAAGCTGCTGGACATTCTGAGGTGCGGGTGTGTTCCAAATGCATTCCACTTTGCTTCTTGCCGGGTGTATACCTTCTGCATCTATGATGAATCCCAGGAATTCAACACGTGTTTGTGAAAATTTGCNCATTTAACCAAATAAACAAACATATTATATTATTTATCGACAAATAATAAATTGTTGCATACTAGCATTAATTAATTAATATACAATGGTTCAGAAATACAATTAACAGGTCTTGTATAAGGAGTATCATTATGACTCCTAAGTTTATGTTTAATTTTACCACCACAGAATGTTGTTACAGCGGTGTCAGGGATGCCTAACATTTCTAACCACTGATCTGTGTTAGGTATCTCTATTATCTCTTCCTCCTCTCCTCTCTCTTCTATTTGATCGTCAATTTCTGTCTGGTTGCTTTCATTATTTGCTTCATCTGGCAACTCTTCTATATTTTGTCCCTGATCTTTGGTTTTTAACAGCTGATCCATATGTCTATTGACAATATTACCATCTTTTGTTTTGATATCGTAACTGACTGGGCCATTCACACTGACAACATTTCCAGGCAGCCACTTAGGGCCAGTAGAATAGTTTCTATACATGACTTTGTCACCAATCTCTGTTTTCCGGTTAACTAGACCTTGATTCCGTGCAATTTGGTTTTCAGTTTGTGCTCTGCTTATGTTGTCAGGTTGCACGGTGTCCAAAAGTGTACGTAATTTCCTTTTCAGTAACAATTCTGCTGGACTTTTATTGGTTGCTGTACATGGTGTGACTCGAAGACTTAACAACATATTGGCCATTTTTAAGTCCCACGGTGTATTTTCCTCCAATTTACGCAACTTATTTTTTACGGTTTGGACCATACGTTCCGCCAATCCGTTTGTGGCCGGGTGGTATGGTGCAGTTGTTACTTGTCGGATGTTGTTGGCTTTTAAAAAATTTCGCGTTTCTTGCGACACAAATGATGTACCATTGTCTGAGACTATTGTTTCACATAACCCATGAGCACAGAATAACATGCGCAGGTGCTTGATAACTGTTTCAGAGGTCATATTATTAACAATGAATACCTCTGGCCATCTAGAGTAGGCATCAACAACAATCAGAAAATACTTATTTTGAAATGGTCCAGCAAAATCTACATGTATTCTAGACCATGGCCGGGTAGGTGTTATCCATCTCTGATTTGTTTTAGCTGGCATGTTTCTGTTTTCTAGGCACCGAACACAACCCTGTACCATGTGCTCTATGTCATTATTCATCTGGGGCCACCACACATAGCTGCGAGCAAGTGCTTTTGTCTGTACGATACCACTGTGCGTTTTGTGTAAGGCTTCTAAAATGTGCCCCTGCAATTGTGGTGGTACTACCACTCTGCAGCCCAATAATATACAGTCTTGTGATTGTGATAGTTCCGATCTATGCACCCAAAAGGGTCGGATTTCGTTGTCAATGCATTTATTTGGCCATCCTACACTTAGATAATGCATCACTTTTGCCAAGGTCTTATCTTTTCGGGTCTCAATTGCCAATTTCTGTGCATCAAATGGAAACTCTTCTGGTGTTTCTGCCAACAGTAATATCTCTCGAGGCACCTCCTCCGCCTGACTCTGCACTGGTTGTGGCCATCTGCTCAGTCCATCAGCATTTCCTATCTGTACTCCTGGTTTGTAAATAATCTCATAACTATGAGATGTTAAAACCAAAGCAATTCTCATAAGCCGAGGTGACAGCATGGCAGGCAATGGTTTATTGGGGCTAAAAATACCCAACAATGGTTTGTGGTCTGTTATAATTGTAAAGTGTCTTCCCGTTAAATAATGATGAAATTTGTAAATACCGAAATTTATTGCTGCAGCCTCTTTGTCTAACTGGGAATATCTTCTTTCATGAGTATGAAGAGTTCTGGATCCCATAGCAATTGGACGTTCTTGTCCATCTTCCATAATATGTGATAATACTGCACCAATGCCATATTCTGAACTATCACATGTAAGTACTAAGGGCTTTTGTAAATCATAATGTACTAATGTCAAGTCACATGTCAACAGATGTTTGGCTGCTTCAAATGCTGATTGTTCTATTTCTGTCCATTTCCATGGTGATGATTTGTCCAAAAGTCTGTGTAGTGGTTCCAACAATGTTGCTTTCTGAGGAATGAACCTCTCATAGAAGTTGTACAGACCCAGAAATGCTTGAAGTTGCTGGACATTCTGAGGTGCGGGTGTGTTCCAAATGCATTCCACTTTGCTTCTTGCCGGGTGTATACCTTCTGCATCTATGATGAATCCCAGGAATTCAACACGTGTTTGTGCAAATTTGCATTTGCTTTTATTCAAACGAAGTCCTGCATTCTTTATGCGTTCGAGCACTGCATCTAACCGATTGAACATCTCTTCAATTGTTGTACCACCAATTATTATGTCGTCAATTAGTACAGCCACGCCTGCGATTCCTCCCAACAATGATGTCATCAAGCGTTGGAATATACCTGGACAAGCTTTCACACCAAATGCCAATCGATGCACCGAGAATAAACCCTTGCAAGTATTCAAGGTAAGTAGTTTAGCTGTGTCATTATCTACGATCACTTGCGTGTACGCTCTGTCCAGGTCAAGGGTCGTGAAATATTTAGCACCAGCTACTGTCGCAAATACCTCACTAGCTGTCGGCATTGGATATGTGTCTGGCTCAGTAGCCAAGTTCACTGTACTACGATAATCGCCGCAGAGTCGGATTTCACCATTTTTCTTTACAATTGGTACCACTGGTGTTGCCCAATCAGAGTATGATTCTGACCGCAACACTCCTTCTTCTACAAGTCTATCAATTTCTTTCTCCACTCGGTCTTTGATTGCAAATGGCACTGGTCTTGCTTTGAGAAATTTTGGTCTCGCTTCTGGCTTCAAATGGACTGTGACAGGTTTCCCACGGTAAGTACCAAGCCCTTCTTTAAATACTTCATTGTGTTTAGTCACTATCTTTTCCAGATAAGAGCTTTGATTATTGGAAATGAAGTTAATTTTCAGAGAAATTTCCAATGGCTCTAACCAGTTTCTTCCTAAAAGGTTTGGTCCATCACCTTTAGCAACAATTACAGTAAGTTGTCGTGTTCGATTTTTGTATGTAACTGGTAGTGAGATACGGCCCAATAATATGACAGGTGCTTCAGTCCATGTGCGTAGCCTGAGTGAAGTGGGCTGCAATGCCATGGGTTGACGAGAGCACACTGCCTGCCAAGTCCTCTCATTGATGAGTGAGAAACTGGCACCAGTATCCACTTGCATTCTTGTTGTAACTTTGTCTATTTGTACTTGTACTTCATAAGGTGGTACTCGATCATCACCCTTCATCACATAGATCCCGTTGAGTTGTTCCTCCTCTTCCTTTTCAGTGAAGTGTATATCTGGTTTCAAACTCTTCTTTTTGCTAATGCATGCCTTCTCAATATGTCCTTTTTTCTTGCAGTATCGACATATCGCATTTATGAATCGACACGTTCCTGCATGGCGATCCCCACACCGGTAGCAAAGTCGCACGTTGGATGTTGTGGCGGGGCCAGGTGCCCGCTGTTGTACGGCGTTGATGTCCATTGGTTCCGCCGGCGGCGGCCCGGACGCTGCATCCCCTTGGATTATACGCACATCCCTTCCCGCACTTTCAGATGTCAACATTGCATCCACTACGTCCTTGTAGGTTAACGTATCGCGCTTTAACAATTCATATTGTAACTGTTTGTTGTTCATGCCGCAAACAAGTCGATCACGTAACATACGTTCCAAGTCTGTAAATTTACATCCAACACTAATTGTCCTCAATTGCGCTATGAAATCGGATGCCGATTCACCAGATTTTTGATTGCGATTGTAGAACTTAAACGATGTCGATATTTCGTTTGGTTTAGGACTATAATGTTTGGTTAGAATTTGCACTATGTCTTCATAAGTCACTTCACTGCACTTTTTTGGAGTAATCAGAGCTAACACAGTCTCAAATACTTGCGCACCACATATTGTAAAGAAATTTGCTCGTTTAATTTGGTCCATGAGGATGCCATTCGCCTCAAAACAAAAGTTCAACCTATCAATGTAATTGTCCCAATTGTCTGTTTGTGGATTGAATTCACGGAATTTCACAGCTTTGCGGTCCATTTTTCCTAGTCGTCGCCACTATTATGATTGAAACCACACTTATTTGGTAATAAGTTTATTGTGTAGGCTTGGTAGCCATCAAGTGAACAAGTAACAAAAAGGCGGGGAAAAGAATGACATCTGTCAATCAACATAACCTCATTTTTTACATACACTACAATAAGTTTATTATAACTTGGTATAAGTTTATGGTAATAAGTTTGCATCGTGCAGTCTACACAGCTTATGCAGTCTGTGGAGGAACACTATAATAATATGCGTGGTCATGATCCTCATCAGTGAGGGACTGAGGAAGAAGAATATTGGTTGGTACTTCTCTCCTAAAATGTATGTGTATTTTATTTATTGTTTATGAAAATGAAAGTTTGAGAGCTATTATTTTAGTTACTATTATGAGACTAAATGCTTAAGTCAACTCAATGCTTAGAGTGGATTCACAATCAAAATTTTATAAAATCAATGAACCTTCACAACTAGGTAACTATCCAGTTTTGACTCCTGGTTCACTGGACTCAATTTGTTGCTAATCTTTAGTATAAATCCCTTACTAGGTAGGTTTCGTTGTCACCCTGAAGAATCTCCAAAATAAAGAGTGACCTTTGGTGTGCTTTTGGCGTCTTTTATTAAATCAAGGCAATTATTACTTACAGTGTATGGGACACCAAGCGATGGACCCCCGAGCGTTGGTGCGCACGTGGATTGCGTGTTGTGGCGGCTTGTTGGGGGCCTGACGACCTGCTGCTGTTTGCAGCTAAAGGGGAGGCAATGATCTATGCTCTCACCAACACTGGACTTATGAGTGGTAAGTAACTATTTATGCATCTAATACATGTAGTGTATGGGAGACTAAGCGTTGGACCCCGAGCGCTTGAGTAGTGTAATGTATTGGACCCTAAGCGTTGGACCCCCGAGTTTTGGACCCCCGAGCGTTGGTGTGCCCGCAACCTTCGAGTCGTGGCGGCGTGCTGGGGGCCAGACGACCTGCTGCTGTTTGCAGCTAAAGGGGAGGCAATGATCTATGCTCTCACCAACACTGGACTTATGAGTGGTAAGTGATTATTAAATTATGCTTCTAATACAAGTAGTTTATGGGACCCTAAGCGTTGGACCCCCGAGCGCTGAACCCCCATCACTGGACCCCTGAGCATTGATGCGCACGCGGCCTTCGTGTTGTGGCGGCTTGCTGGGGGCCTGATGACCTGCTACTCTTTGCGGCTGAAGGGGAGCCAATGATCTATGCTCTCACCAACACTGGACTTATGAGTGGTAAGTGAATAATGATTTATACTTCTAATACATGTAGTGTATGGGACATTAAGCGTTGGACCCCCAAGCGTTTGAGTGGTGTAGTGTATGGGACACTAAGCGTTGGACCCGAGCGTTTGAGTGGTGTAGTGTATGGAACACTAAGCGTTGGACCCCCGAGCGCTGGACCCCCATCACTGGACCCCCTAGTGTTGGTGCGCACGTGGATTACGTGTTGTGGCGGCGTGCTGGGGGCCTGATGACTTGCTGCTCTTCGCAGCTAAAGGGGAGCCAATGATCTATGCTCTCACCAACACTGGACTTATGAGTGGTAAGTGAATAATGATTTATACTTCTAATACATGTAGTGTATGGGACATTAAGCGTTGGACCCCCAAGCGATTGAGTGGTGTACTGTATGGGACACTAAGCGTTGGACCCGAGCGTTTGAGTGGTGTAGTGTATGGGACACTAAGCGTTGGACCCCCGAGCGCTGGACCCCCATCACTGGACCCCCTAGTGTTGGTGCGCCCGTTGATTACGTGTGGTGGCGGCGTGCTGGGGGCCTGACGACCTGCTGCTGTTCGCGGCTAAAGGGGAACCCATGATCTATGCTCTCACCAACACTGGACTTATGAGTGGTAAGCGGCTACTGATTAGTATGGGACACCAAGCTATAATAATATCTATGAAGGTAGAAACACTAATTTTTTACCCTACTCCAGGAGAAACAGTGGCAAATATCAGATATAGCTTCTGTTGAATTTAAATACTTACTCAGAAGTATTTCTCTATATTATGTTTATGTACTGATTACAACATGCTGATACTTTCTGTGTAATTTTTTTAGATAAAATATCAAAGGAAGTAGTCATGCATGAACATCTGCAATGCCCTCTAACATTAAAACAATATAACAATGTAAACTAGCCACGATAGCCGAACGGTGAAGGGGTCGGACTGGCCGACTCGTGATCCGGGGAACGCGGGTTCGGTCCCCACCGCCGCTCGACTATTGTGGTGAGCTCACTCGTGATACAAGCATAATTATTTAGCTTAGTACGAGGGGCTAACGGGAGTATTAGTAATTTGTGTAATAACGAATTACTAATAATCTTTAAAAAAAACCATTACACCACAGAAACACTTGCTTTCTAAAGCCTGGTTCGTGAGCACTTAGAATTTTGTCCAATGACCCCAAGGTACCCATCCTTATCGCTCGCGCGTAATTATATTGCTGTCGCGACTGTGCGACGAGCGCCCGCAGTGCGTAGCTTGGGGTCATTGGACAAAATTCTACGTGCTCACGGACCAGGCTTTACCCTCATAAGATGTAATATCATTATTTACAGGTGCCCAAACCAGCAAAGCGGTCCCAATCCTTGACATAACAAAAGTGGAGTTGCCCTCAGGCCACCCGGTCGGAGGCCCAGTGTTGGACATGTGCTGGGATTCCACAGGCAGATACCTCGCTCTTCTGTTCGAAGAGTCTCCTCTCATAGCCGTGTTCTGCACTACGCATCTTATGATGCAGCTGAAGATCACTCCTTGGTTAGTAATTTCACTTTATTTATATGTAGATGATGGCACATTGAGGTAAACATTATGCTTCTTTATTCAGTGGCTAATCTATTTATTCAACCAATCAAAATATCGATCAAAAATATCTTTATTTATACTATAGACTACCAAAAAATGAGTACTGACAAATTGTTCATATGGAGCCTTTACATGCCTGATTATTTATTTTGCCCTACCTGCGCGCCTTATTCTGGTGCTTTCAACTCCGGACTTTCCATATTATACATAGTTTCGAAGCCTCGAAACCCTGATCACCTATAGTCTTTTTCACCTAAGATGATCCGTATGACACTTCAAGGTTATCCATATTACGCATACTACATTATGCAGAATATGTTTGAAAAATATTTTGTATACAATTAGCAATATAATAAAAAAGTTAAACTACTTATCTTGAAATGTATAGTAAAATCGGAGTCTATTGGATTATATTTTAATTAAATACGATGTAAAAATATTTTTTATTTAAAGTACGCAATGTGTGATACGGAATAGGTTTAGAGCTGGGATACAACCAAATCGATTATTGTCGCGGTTCATTAATCGATAACAGTGAATACTTAGATATTATAAACATCACAAAAATCAACTATATTTTTCGATATTTCGCTGTAAAAATTGCATAAATGTTTGCATTTTGAACAGCCAAGATTTTCAATCACAATAAAGGAGATGGCGTCTATTCATAGAAACCTAGTATGATGACTCAAAAATATAATTCTATGCGTCACAATCATAATTGAATTTCTGGGCTAGTTTTTGATCCTTTTTAACCAACTAAATACGTATAAAAATGTTTCTTTAAAAAGTAGGTACTACTGACTCTTAGAAAAAAAAATCGAATCTAAATCGCTATGGTTTAGTTATGGGACATCTCTATAACTTTCAAACTCGAAACGTCATAAGGATCATCATACGTGAAAAAGACTATAGCTTTTATTGACTTTCATAAATGCCACATTTTAGTTTTAGTAGTTGTTGTAATAGTCTTATTTCATTTAATTTGTAATTTCTGCTTAATTGAAACTTTTTACAGTTAATTTTAACCTAATATTACGAGCTAAGTCTTTATAAATTCACGTGCAACTATTTGTTCCAGCTGCTTCATCAACGGCATAGACAACGAACTACCCTCAACCATGGCGTTCCAACAGAACTTCACCGAAGGAGCCTGTCTCACCGTCGCCTGGTCATCAGGCAGGATACAGCATTTCCCTATCGTGTACAATATGTAGAGGTCAGGTCAGTTTGTAGCTTGACATTTATATGGTGGATAGTACAACCAGAGTAAATACAAATGAGTAGGTCATCTTCATAGAAAGAAACGCACCGAGCGCGGTTTGTATGTGAGCGCGCCAATATACGTATGCGGCGCGCACGCACACACTGACAAAATTCGGCGCAACCACGACTGGCTCCCCGCTAATCCCCGCTAAATTTTGTCAGTGTGTGCGTGCGCGCCGCATACGTGTTGGCGCGCTCACATACAAAACGCGCCCGTGCGTTTCTATGAAGATGACCTACTCATTTGTATTTACTCTGGTACAACCCGGTACTACTCGTGTACTCAAAATAGTTAGTTGAAATAAAAAAAGATGATTATAAATTATGTATGGAAAGCTGGTTAATTGTTGATTTCAAATCATAAATGTGATTCAGAAACATAGGAGCGGTTTTTTTCACTGCGTCAGATCTGAACTCGACATCAATACGGAACCAAAAAACTCAATTTCGCAATGCGTTATTCTGCTACTCTGAATCGTATTTTTACGGGATTCGGTCAGACGTAGTGCGAAACCGCTCTAACATAGTTTTGACAGATCATAAAAAGTATCTTCAATATTGACTGGTGGTGGCCGATCCCTAATTTTACAAACAATTAGCAAAAAATAAAACAAGAAAGTCTGTTGTATTTGGTGGTGGAAGAAGTTGTACTTATAGAAACCATTGTAATCAATATTCGAATCAGTATGATTAAGTACTTTCCTCACAAAAACTTGTATTTTCTTTTGATAAAACAGAATAAAAAACGCTGGTAAACGTAATTTTGTCGTAGACATATTTTCTAGTTTTTAAGTTTTTGAAGTAAGATAGGTATGCCAAAAGACTGCCTAATAATATTTTTGTACTAGCAACTAGTGAAATAAGTAAACATTGTAAATGTGATGTAAATAAACTCTTTTATTTTTAAACAAAGTTTTGGGTTTCATTTATTGGGGTATCCATTTTAGTTGTAGATTCTGTAGTACTTGTAGTAATAGTAGTAGTGATGATTGCAGTAGTACTGAGAGTAGTAGAATCATTTAAAGTAGTCCTTGTCACATTGATCATAGCATACTTATCAAATTCTTTATTTCGTCTGTACATCATTGTTGGCTTGTATCTGTATCTAATTGTCTTTTGACTTTTTAAATCCCTCGCTGCGGCTTTCAACAATGGATTAATCAAATCAGACGACTTCTTCAGGGCTAACGAGTCTTTTAACTCGTCGTCAAGACTTAACTGTACTTTAACATAAACGTTATTTCGATTCGTATAGTGTGAATGCTCATCACTCTCCATAAATTTTCTGCCCGCGAATTTACCGTTACAGACAGAAAATACAGAACAAATTCTACTTTTTAAATCCCTTTCTAAATTCCCCAAATCGACATCTATGTTTACAATTAAATCCTTTTTAATATTCTGCTGAAGTCTTACTCTTAGCGATTCTAAACCTGTATCAAGATCCATTTTTATTAGTGTTATTGTATCCCTTATTGTATTCTTTATGTAAGATTTAAGCGCCTTTATGTTTGCCTTCTCATCTTTTACATGGTTAAGTTGGAAATCACCAGTCGTTCTTTTGAATATCTTAATAGTTTTATCCTCTGCTACTAAGCTTAAGTTGGTTATTACACTGGCAACATCATCTTTTTCTTGACTGTCTTCATTATTAACATCCCTTACATACATTGATGCGTAGTTCCTCAATGTACTGACAGCGGTATCGTTTAGTGCTATATAAAAGTCTGTCATGAATTTTGATAGTTCTTGAGAGCAAATTTTAAAGTACTCGCATTTGACCTTCGTCTTCATATTATTATCCTTGGGCGTTCCTTGCCGAAGGCCTACATCGTTTTCGAATAGGATCTCCTGCCCATTGTTACTAACCACTTTGCAAATTATTTTGTACTTGTCTGCCATAACTTCCAAATCTTTGACTATGTGAGCGAGAAACTCGTGAAACTGCTCGAAAAATAGGAAGAGTTTTGTTCCTTGGAATGAGTCTGGTTGATGCTTTGCGTATATCAAGTACTGCTTCTTCAATTTATCCCATTGCTTGTTCCATTTGGACGCTATAGAAATGGTGTTGTGCACGCGATTTTGGCTCTTACTTAATTCGTTATCCGGTGTGCTTTTCCATAAGCATTTGTTTGAAAGAAGTCTCGCCATGATCCCATCTAAAGTGTTTGTCACAAGATTTCGTGTGTCTTTTGTAACGTTTTCTTTCATCAGTGCAGCCTTAATTTCACGCCTGATCTTCTTATAATTATTTATTTTGGCTCTCAATGGGTCCGGTATTCGTTTTTCTTCTTTTTTCCTCAGATGTTTGTGTTTGTTATTATTTGGAACGAATTCTACTATAGTGGTTTCATCATTGCCTTCTAGCGTGAGATTATCATTTTCCTCGTCTTTTGTTTTTGTCTCTACGTCATAATCTTGTAGCAGTGGTTTTAGTTCTGCGATTTTTTTCTGTATTACATTTTCCACTGAAGATTCTTTTAGTGCCCTAAACGTTGGCTCTGCGTTGAATGCTCCTGGCTTTAGATACGGGGTGATGAATGTTTGCACAAATTCTAATAGTGTTGTTAAGTCGGGCAAGTTTCCTTTTATTAGGCTTCCCTTCGTAGGGACTTGTGAATAAATTAGTATAGAACAAAGCAGTTGTGCTGAAAAGGAGAGGGGGACTTATTCTATTAGGTCGTCAAAATATAAGTATGTTTTTGATTTCTATTCTGTTTGTCCCCTTAAATCAAATCAAAATGTTTACAGTTATTAAGAACATACATGAGATGATGTAAAACAGAATAATTACATTATTTTAAACAATGTTAGTGTGAGTCTGGTGCCTATATGTTCCTTAAAATAATGTAGAATTAAAAATTTGGAAAATCTCGGATTGCAAAAAGGACTTTCAACTTGAAAGCAGGGTCTGACCTCTCTTTTTGTGTTATATGCCTCTTTCACTCAGTGCTTTCTTATTTTTAGTAATCTCACGTTCTCAGTGTTTTCTTATCGCCTCGTAGGTATAGTATTTAACTTAAGGCACGTTTACAATGTCCTCTTACCTTTAAGAGAGTTCGCTCTAAAGTTTTCCATTATGTTGCTTTAATCTGTTTTCAATCCATTTTACAGGCATGTTTACGGTCGCCACTAGCGATATATGTAACGGATACTATGGCTACGTTTTACGACCCTCTTTTATATCTTGAATTTTATTATGTCCGTGGATTGAATGGAAAAGATTTGTAGTTTAAGATTTTACAGGAAAATACCTTTTACAATGTGAGCAGGAAGTTGTAAATAAATAGCGAAATAAAATACTATTACTTATAGATACCAAACTTATTCCCTAAGATGAAATAGTGAATTGATGCCTGATCATTGTTACTCTTATTTTAACGAAAATGTAATGAAAAATATACAGGGTGTCCCAAAAACAATGGATAACCCTGTAACCATCAATAGGCCTCGCCATGGTCTCCCTAACGTCCTATTTTGACCCCAGTAAAAATATCACCGTTTTCAAGATTTTTGAGTTTTTGTGCATTTTTAGAAAATTGCCACCTGCGATTACTTTTTCTCATGCCATTTCTACAAATGAGGATACTTTTCAATCTAGTTTTTTTCCTTATCAAAAGGGATAGTTGGGCTATCAAAAGAAAAGATTAAAGTTCAACAAACTAGTTTAAAAGTTTGAAAATTTTAAGAAATTGCAGAGAAGAAGGAAAAATTAATTCATTGTCTTGCACTTTTGATCAGCCGTCGTGTAAAAAAAATGTAGGAAAACCATCGTGCCCATTACCTTAAAAACTTCCTTGGTTAATTGAGATTCTAAAAAGGTATCACAAACCTATGTATTCTGTATTATTTTTATCTTATGGCTACTTGAATAGCAACTAGTATGAAAACTGCAAAAATGAGTTTTTCTCGTAATAGTTAAACTAGGACTGCATAGTGGCATTAAATACAAATGGATAATTTTTAGCGTAGGAATTTTAATAAAGCAACATTTTGTCATCATCACCATCATCATCATTTCAGCCATAGGACGTCCACTGCTGAACATAGGCCTGTACCCCAATGATTTTCATAATGACCGCTTGGTAGCGGCCTGCATCCAGCACCTTCCTGCTTACCTTTATGAGGTCGTCGGCCCACTTTGTAGGTGGACGTCCTACGATGCGCTTTCCGGTACGTAGTCTCCACTTTAACCCTAGCGCGTGATTTCATATAAAAAAAACCCGCGCGAGGACGCGTTGTCAGTGTGAAGTGCCGCGCGTGTTTTCTATACAAACTGAGGTACTTGCATACAATGATTAAATCTGTCGTCCCGCGCTCCGCGGCGGAGCGCGGCGCATTGTGATAACCGTCTTAGAATCGGTTCCAACTATCAGCCGACTAAATATCTGTAGTCTGCCGAGAGTCCTAAATTAAAAATGTTATTGCCATTCAACTCAAAAGGAGTTGTACATGTTTTGTCATTTTGGCTAGAATATAAACGATATCAATTAAAACACGAATTAAGCAACAGCATTTTTATTTAACAACATTACATTATATTCATATAGTCGTACTGTAATTCACACATCTTCAATGTACATATTAATATACTTTAATAAGTAGGACGTACACGATTGCAAAAGCCCACTGGAAGCTTAAAACTAGTATTGCAACAATGGTATCACTTGCATGTTATCAAAACTTAAATATTTTTAATTAAATAGTATTTTTTTTTATTAAAAAACAATCTAGTCTTAAGACTTTAACAATTTTAAATTTTAATCCGAAAAAAAACTACATTCGGCAATATTTTTCTAAAGAATATTTTAATTAATTATGAAAATCTACTTGCTTACGAATAAGTAAATGTACAAATGAGTAAATGACTTAATCATGAAGATTATATTCGAAGATAATATTGTTTGGTCTTGAATAAAACACTTCATTCGTGAAAATGTAAGAAGACAATATTTTAATTGTATACATATGAAAATGTATCAAAAAAATATTCATAAAGTCAGAGCGTGCAGAAGTTGAAGACGTTTATCGTAATTGAACAAACAAATACTTAAATACGTATCGCATAACTATTTTTAACCTACCTAAATTCTTACCAAATCACTAATTAATGGGATAAGTTGTGTTCAATTTGTTTTATTATTTTTGGACTCATTATTTTAATCCAAGCAACGGATACAATGCATTTTCTCGTTATGGCGTTGCTATACAAAACGTACATGAATACTACTGAATAGTAGTAATTATTTAACTCTAGCAACACTGACCAAGCTTACAAGGTACTACTCTAACAGATTGAGCTTGCTGTTGGTCTTGCGCAGCTGTGCTCGCCATGGTATGATTTTTGCGCTCTCGGCATTGTCGTCGTCATGTTTACAGTTTGTCGCGTGACCTGTGAACGTTAAAATAAATCAGTGTTACCAGTACACGAAATAAAATTCCTTCCATTTTGACAATATCTTTTCTTCACTACTAAAAACAAGTCGTAAGAAAACATCAGTCAGTAAATATACAACCGGCATACACACGTAAATCTTAAGATTAATAGATCGTTAATTTTAAAGTTTTGATTCAGGAAAAATTCGCAAAAAAACTTAATAGTCTGCAATTAGTAAAACATGTGAAGCTGATTGTGGACTGCCTAAAATACGACTACAAAATGGAAACGCAATTTGTCTCGACTGTTAGCTAAGTGCCAAAGCTAATGAAGCAAAACAAGTGATTTGACAGTCCAGATTAGTTAAAACTATCAATTTTGCGCATGGAAAACTGTACAGAATGTCGTTTTTCGGTAACGAATTCATTATGAAGAACTAACAATGTGAATAACAGCTCATCAACAATAGCAGAAGTGTATCCATTTCCACGATTGTTTGTGTTAGTGCAGTAGTATTTACATAAATATTCAGAAATATACACATAGAATAGTTATATAAGTTTCATGCTGTCGCGTGAAATTGCCGTATCAAAGAAGTTTTTCAAGGCCTTTTTCAGAGCACTTGTCTGTAGCCATAGATACAATAAAGTTAATCAAACAAAACGTGCCGTAATAAAAACCCCCAATACGAATCCCTGAGCGTAGAGTACTGACCGTTACAGTGGTCCGAGGATAGCTTCTCTTAGATATGTTGTCTATGGACTCGTAACACTCGTAGCAGTACGAGAATGACTCAACTAGTCGTAGCAAAGAGTACTAACCGTTACAGTGGTCCGAGGATAGCTTCGCTTCTGAGGGCGCGCGCGCGGGCTGCGCAGGAGTGTCGTAGCAGAGCGATATGTTGTCAATGGAGTCGTAGCACTCGTAGAAGTGCGAGAATGAGTCGTAGCAGTACAATACGAGTACTATAGTACTCTCTAAGAATTTACAGAGGGGTACTGACCGTTACAGTGATCCGAGGATAGCTTTGCTTCTGAGGGCTGCGCAGGAGTGTCGTAGCAGAGCGATGTGTTGTCGATGGAGTCGTATCACTCGTGGCAAAGTTAGCAAGAGAACCTACTTACTGTTCAGTGGTCCGAGGATTGCTTAATCCTGAGGGCGCTTACGTTAGGTCCGCTTAAGTATCGTAGCAGAACCTGTATAGCAGTATTGTAGCGAGAGTGCTGACCGTTACAGTGGTCCGAGGATAGCTTCGATTCTGAGGACACGCAGGGAGTGTCGTAGCACTGCGAGAATGAGTCGTAGCAGTTTAATAAGAGTGCCATAATATAGAGTACTGACCGTTACAGTGGTCCGAGGATAGCTTCGCTTCTCAGGACACGCAGGAGTATCGTAGTCGTAGCACTGCTAGAATGAGTCGTATCAGTTTAATAAGAGTGGCGTAATATAGAGTACTGACCGTTACAGTGGTCCGAGGATAGCTTCGCTTCTGAGGGCGCGCGCGCGGGCTGCGCAGGAGTGTCGTAGCAGAGCGATTTGTTGTCGATGGACTTGCAGCACTCGTAGCAGTTCAATAAGATTGCCGTAGCAAAGAGTAACAGAGTCGTAACACTCGAAGCAGTGCGAGAATGAGACTTAGTTCGATATGAGAGCCGTAGCAACGAGTGCTAAGGTACCGACCATTACAGTGGTCCGAGGATAGCTTCGCTTCTGAGGGTGCGCAGGAGTTTTGTAGCACTCGTAGCATTGCGCAGGAGTGTCGTAGCAGAGCGATATGTTGTCAATGGAGTCGTAGCACTCGTAGAAGTGCGAGAATGAGTCGTAGCAGTACAATACGAGTACTATACTACTCTCTAAGAATTGACAGAAGGTACTGACCGTTACAGTGGTCCGAGGATAGCTTCGCTTCTGAGGGCGCGCGCGCGGGCTGCGCAGGAGTGTCGTAGCAGAGCGATATGTTGTCGATGGAGTCGTAGCACTCGTAGCAGTGCCAGCATAAGTCGACTGACGAAGCAAGAGTACTGACTACTCGATGGAGTCGTAGCAGTGCGAGAATGAGAGTCAATATAAACAAAGGGTACTGAGAGTACTGACCGTTACAGTGGTCCGAGGATAGCTTCGCTTCTGAGGGTGCGCAGGAGTTTTGTAGCACTCGTAGCATTGCGCAGGAGTGTCGTAGCAGAGCGATATGTTGTCGATGGAGACGGCGCATTTGAAGCAGTGTGAGAATGAGTCGCAGCCGCTAAACAAGAGTGCTGTGGCTACGGCTTTCTCAAAGAATAGGCAGTGGGTACTGACCGTTACAGTGGTCCGAGGATAATTTCGCTTCTGAGGGCGCGCGCGCGGGCTGCGCAGGAGTGTCGTAGCACAGCGATATGTTGTCGATAGAGTCGTAGCAGTGCGAGAATGAGTCGTAGCAGTTCAATACGAGTGCTACGGCTCTCAAGGAATTGATCGAGGGTACTGACCGTTACCTAATCATATCATAGCCTAATACGGTACTGAAGCAAGAGTACTGACTACTGACCGTTACAGTGGCACGAGCAGTTGTCGATGAAGTAGTAGCACTCATAGCAATGCCAGCATAAGTCAACTAATCTAGCGAGAGTACTGACCGTTACAGTGGTCCGAGGATAGCTAAGCTAGATAGAAAGTTGTCGATGGAGACGGCGCATTTGAAGCAGTGTGAGAATGAGTCGCAGCCGCTAAACAAGAGTACTGTGGCTACGGCTTTCTCAAAGAATAGGCAGTGGGTACTAACCGTTACAGTGATCCGAGGATAGCTTCGCTTCTGAAGGCACGCGTGTGAGCTGCGCAAGAGTATCATAGCAGTGATATGTTGTCGATGGATTCGAAGCACTCGTAGCAGTGCCGTAGTAAAGAGCCTTAATACGAATGCCCGAGCGTAGGGTACTGACCGTTACAGTGGTCCGAGGATAGCTTCGCTTCTGAGGGCGCGCGCGCGGGCTGCGCAGGAGTGTCGTAGCAGAGCAATATGTTGTCGATGGAGTCGTAGCAGTGCGAGAATGAGTCGTAGCAGTTCAATACGAGTGCTACGGCTCTCAAGGAATTGACAGAGGGTACTGACCGTTACCTAATCATATCATAGCCTAATACGGTACTGAAGCAAGAGTACTGACTACTGACCGTTACAGTGGCACGAGCAGTTGTCGATGAAGTAGTAGCACTCATAGCAATGCCAGCATAAGTCAACTAATCTAGCGAGAGTACTGACCGTTACAGTGGTCCGAGGATAGCTTCGCTTCTGAGGGCGCGCGCGCGGGCTGCGCAGGAGTGTCGTAGCAGAGCGATATGTTGTCGATGGACTCGCAGCACTCGTAGAAGTGCGAGAATGAGTCGACTGATGAAGCAAGAGTACTGACTACTCGATGGAGTCGTAGCAGTGCGAGAATGAGTCGTAGCAGTGCGAGAATGAGTCGCAGCCGCTAAACAAAAGTGCTGTGGCTACGGCTTTCTCAAAGAATAGGCAGTGGGTACTGACCGTTACAGAGGTCCGAGGATAGCTTCGCTTCAGAGGGCGCGCGCGCGGGCTGCGCAGGAGTGTCGTAGCATAGCGATATGTTGTCGATAGAGTGGTAGCAGTGTGAGAATGAGTCGTAGCAGTGCGAGAATGAGTCGTGTAGCAGTTCAATAGAAGTGCTACGGCTCTCTCAAGAAATTGACAGAGGATATTGACCGTTACAGTGGTCCGAGGATAGCTTCGCTTCTGAGGGCGCGTTGAGTGATATGTTGTCGATGGAGTCGTAGCACTCGTAGCAGTGTCTGGCACTGCATGAATAGCAGAAGTGCCATAGTTAAAAGCCTCAATACGAATGCTTGAGCATAGAGTACTGACCGTTACAGTGGTCCGAGGATAGCTTCGCTTCTGATGGCGCGCGCGCGGGCTGCGCAGGAGTGTCGTAGCAGAGCGATATGTTGTCGATGGAGACGGCGCGCTGCGTGCCGCTCGGGTACGCGCGCCACTCGCCGTTCGTTCCGTTTGAGCCGTTCGTCTCCTCGACTTTCGGAGTGTAAAGGGATTGTCTGGAAGCATAGAAACGGTGAGATGTTAATATTCATTGAAAGAATAAGTATTATGTTATACGCGTACAAGTTACATTTTAGAAAATCTGATAAACTCAAATTCGTAGTCACAAAATTATCCCGTAAGGGTTTTTAGAACTCAGGGACAGGGGAGGCTTTAAGTCCTTGAACCAAAACTTGAGTCACTAAACTCCCTAAATGTAAAACCAATACTGCTTTGCTCTAAGGGAAAAGGACACTAGTCATTTTAGAGCAAATTCATTACTGAATATTTTCTGTAGTTGCAAATGTGACTAACGCGCGTCAGTAGCGATGCTGTCGCGCGTTTCGTAATAAGTCGCCGTGGGCGAGGGCCCTTGGGTATGTTTCATTCATCTCTAGCTATCTGATCCATCGCTTGATATCAATCTATTACCTCAGCCGGTTCTCAGCCTCCTCTCTCCTCTGCAGCAGCTGTCTCTTCCAAACTGGCACCGCCGCCGCCCTCCGTCTCTCCGCCTCTCCCGCCAGCTCCCTCTCCAGATCCCTCCGCGCCTTTTCGGCGGCCCTCCTCGCCAACATTTGCCTCTTCCACGCCGGAATCACGTTCCCGGCGGCGTCTCGCTCCGGCACCTGGGGACAACCCTACCGTCGGCCAGCCGCACGTGTTCAAGGGATTGGAGTCCACCACCATGATAGGTAAGGGACGACAAACAATATTAATGCCCAAATTGTGTTCGAAAATCTATTTAAAATCTGGCTCGAAGGACCATAAATTTATTTTTAAAATCCGGCTGGAATGACCAAAATTATACGATTATCAAAAATGTTACTATCAATGTTTGGATTTGGCATTAATACAGTCTGCCTTGCTCGTCAAATGTAGGTAGGTGAAATGAAATGTTTAGTGCAAGTAATGAAAAATTGGATCTACTATCCGGCTCGGAGGACCATGAGTCTTATGATCGTCTAAGCCTGTGGCATGCCTTATAAATATTATTGTGAGCTCGATTTCATGATCTTTAGTAATTACATAATGGGTACAAACGTAGAGACAAAAGCAAGTGAAGTTAAATACTGATCTTGTATTGTTGTAATTAGAGGCAGTTTTGCAATAAAAACTTGATTGATACAATCATAGAATCCAGCTCATTGTATTGGAAAAATAGATATTTATTTAAATTTAAAATAAATGATAATATTTAATGAATATGGATTGATTACTCTAACCAAGGAGTCTGAAATATGACTCTTCGCGGTTTGCTTATTACACAACCTGTGGTCTACAAGGCATAACAAATGATTGATTTCCATGCTAGTAGTTAATACAGATTAACGAATTAAATGTCTATCCAAGAAAAAAACTACAAGTTAACGTTTCCCCATATTACCCTCCAGGTTTTTTCAGCTGGTGGACATTGTGAGAAGTATAGTTATTTAATTTTTAGCGTTAAAAGTCGCATCTCAAACTAATTTGAAAATTATAAATAACTTGAAAAAATCGAACTGCCTAAGGGTTCAATTCCCGCCTTAGGCAGTTCGATTTTTTCAAGTTATTTATAATTTTCAAATTGTGAGAAGTAGGTAGTAATATAATATTTTTGACATCCATATCCGCGGTAAACTTTTTAATGACTTCAATAAATATTAATTTCAAAGTCACTCGATGAAAAGTAAAACCGTAGACCATGATTTTTCAAATCTTGTGTCAATATCCCCAAGTAGTGAAAATTTATAACTTATTTCAAAGTGATTCTGCTAGTGCTAGCTACAAACTAGTGGATGAACAACGGGAATCAACTCATTTCAACTGCAGTAATTTACAGTTACACGCCTGCATCCTACAATCACTGGACCATATAACTTGCAACTTAGAATATAACTTTATCTCTCAATTTATTACGGCACGTTTCTGATTTATGTAACAGTGCAACTAAAATGTTTGTTATTTACAACAATGCCCAGCTCCAATTAGCCATGATGAATACGGCACCGTTACTCTGTGGCTGTGCTGTTACATAACACGCGATTGTAGCGACCGTGACCGTAACCGTTCAGTTTAACTGGAGATAAAATAGTACTACAAGGTAGGTAATATGAACTAGATATTATCTTCGAAGTCATTGTTCGTCTTAAAAATAATAACGCGATGGAAGCTCAATTTCGATAGAGCGTTTTAATGATGAAGAACTTTCTTCTTTCATTAATGTAGTATGATTTTCTACTTAAAGCTATAACAGTTTATGTTCATTTTAAACAACAAAATATGTAAAGCAAGCACAGCACATCTTGTAAAAAATATCTTGAGGAATAAGTAAATAGCTCTTTGTTCGTCTTGGCAATAATATTCTAAATATTGGTTCGTCTTAGAAAAAACATCGCAATGCAAGTTTTATTTCAACTATAATTGATAGAGCGTTTAATGATAATGAAAGTTGATGTATTCTACCTCTGCAAAAAAATACGTAGTAACTAAATTAGTAACTATGTCAATTTTAAACAGTAAACTGTGTGTTGCACAGCACACCTTGTAAAAAAATATCTTGACTAAATAGCACAAAATTGATTTTCTATTATGACTTCGCTTGTTAGGTAATATCGAGTATGCCTAAGTAGGTACGGGCCGAATTCACACAAAACATTATTCAACTTTGGAATTGAATTTTTTTTTAAGTAAACATGTTTTTGTAATATTTGAACTCAGTTTGGTCAGGTATTTACCTTATCTCGATTATAATCGAATCGATAGAAATGTTAGAAGATTTTTTCATCTATTTGCGTAAACTGTTCTAAAACTGTATTAAGTTTCTCAGCTTGTGAAAACCGTCCATCAAGCAAAACATGACGTCACAACACTTAAGTGGCACTCAGTTGGCATGCGGAACAGCCGATCATGCCCGTCACCGTTTTCCCATACTCCACATAGTTGCAGGTAGATTGGGTAATCAGCCAATTCACACATCGCCCAAAATACAGATATTTTTTGCTAAATGAGTAGCTTCACATAACACTTTCAGCCTGATCATCAATTTCCATCGGGTGAGATGCAGGCCAATAGCTCCTCTGTTGTTAATAAAAAAAGACATTTGGAGCAGCTTTTTCTATTATTTTTTATGTATCAATGATTCCCTTTAGGCTCTTCCCATCAGAAGGGTTTTTTCAACAGAAAAATCATGCTGACTGATGATTATAACTGTTATCATTTTACTGACTTAAATAAACTCTGGAATGTAAAACTAAATATTAAATCTGATACTTGCATACACGCCAAAACAAAATAAGGTTACTGAAGCGTATTAGAGCTGGTTTTTAAACATGTGTAAAATACAGTTAAAAATTAATAATTTATGGCTTTATTTTTAACAATATAACAAATTTTGCCAGAGATAAAATACAACAAGTGATCAATAAGAATTATTGAACGCAAAATAAAATAGAAGTTTTGAATTATTTTACTCAAATTCATAAGTGAGAGTTATAACAGATTAACAATTAGTTACAACGACGTACGTTTAAAAACAGATTCGTCATTAAGAGAAATGACAGATTTTCCAATTTTGTAGCAACACATCTTACTTTTATGTTTTCAAGTGTTTGCTGCTTTCGCGTTTTAAAGGACATTACACATTTTACAGCTTTATGAGAACAAAATAAATAACTTAGATTAATAAAACCTAGATGGATAGTCTTCATACAAACGCTTCGTCAAGAGTGAGGCAAAAATCTTATGTCATTAGTGTCAATTTTGTTGGGGAGTGTAGACAGTGAAGGCGATTTTCCCGAAAGTAGGAAAATTTTTAATACGTTTTTAATTATTTTATAATTAACAAAAACAAAACGCATCATGTACTTACTTATTTATTGAATTCAAAGAACCTACTTAATTACAATAACATAAATCGACTTAAAAGTCTCGATTTCATAAAAAAGGAAGTGTATTTGTAGGGCGAACAATTGGGAAATAAATTTTCTTGTTACTGGTATCATTCCCGTATTTAATTTTTGAAAGCCAAATTCAAGCAAAATACGCGTCGAATTGTAGTACTTACTTATGAAATGTAACACTGGTCACTTTCTTTCTTTTTTCTGATGTATTTAGACACCCTTTCACAGCCCAAACCGTCTTATTTAATTAAAATTCGTCGGACGTGTTTACCAATTTTTCACTTTGACAGTTCATGTGACGTTTACGGGTAAGCCATTCTGGCTTACTAAAAGCTGCCTCACCTTTCGTGCACTGACTATCTATCTAGGTTTTATTAATCTAAGATAAATAATAAATAAGTTGTTTATTGAAAATAAATAAGTTTTGATACTTATGTAATTACTTTATAATAAATATGAAAACTGGAATTGTTATAGCTCATTTTATAGCTGCGACATGTGAAAGTCGATATTTCCCTTTTATTTGAAATGCAATAAACATGTATGAGTATTTTATGGTTTTCTTAATGGTATAAGTTTCCAATGAGATTTTATGGGAAGTGTTCTTGGTTTTATTTCGCCATGACGCTGATATTATTCTATAAATGAAAGGAAAAACGATTGCTGGTTTTAAACATAAACACTTTTGTTATTAGTATGAACTAGGGGCGTGCCCCGGCTTTGCACGTATTTATAATCGTAACTTTATCTTGAATCGAATGCCGAAAATTGCATTAAAATCTAAGACAGGCGGGAGAAATTCTGTTTTATACTATGTAAGTTAAATTAAAGTTTGTAAACTTATTCGGAAGTTTATTCAAATGTATTTAACGAATTTGTATTTTTAAACACTATTTTAATGCAAATGCAAGTATGTATTTCTATTTTGTGATTAATGCCCGTATTCACAAACGATGCTTGCTTATGTGAAGCAGTAAATCGAACGCACAGCGTTGAATAGAGCACTGTGATTGGTTCGTGTGTCACCCTGTGCGTCCACGCGCACTGTGAGAACTCATAGTAATGTTTGTAATTACGGGCGTAAAAAATATCCCTAACAAACGTACCTATCTATGTGCAGAGAGGATAAAAAAGAACACAATAATAAATAAATATCCTTGGACATTTTACACTACGAATTATTTTACTAAAAGATCATGGACACCTATCTACTTGTTGTAACAAATTAATATCTAAAGTAACTTCTATTAGCTACAAATGCTACAATCCACATTCGTCACGTTTTTGTCGATCACGTCACGTTTCACTCGGAATTTAGTTAAAAAGAAACTTTTAAAACGCTCCGGCTTTGAATTAGAAGCACCAATAAGAGTCAATTTATGACAATCTTGACAAAGATGCAATTAAACCAGCTGCACACCGAAACCGACCCACCGACACAATTTTGAGACAGTTTCTAAATACAGAGGGCTTAGAGTAGGCGCACACCGTTGATTTTCGTTGGCCGATAGTTGTGCCCGATTTTAAATTGTATGAAGAATTGGCCAAATCGAATCGGCGTAGTGTGCGCACTCCCATACATGCCCATACTGATCAACTGCCCGACTAAACTATCGGCCGACGAAAAATCAACGGTGTGCGCCTACTCTTAGGCCCAGTTTTTTGATTCGTAGTTAAAATAACAAATTGTTAAATTTTGCTACTAATGGTTAAATATTAACAAAATGTTAACTAGTAGTTAAAAAATGTACTAAAAGTCA